TTAATACCGTCTGAAATTTTTACTTCCACTTTTTTTTCTCTTAAAATTCATATTTATGCTAATAGAAAGGAGGGTAAGTGGAAATTGAGTGATGCGCTCACCGCACCAGATTGCTTTTGGTATAGGTTGAGAACAGATCAAGTTAAAAAAAATTTTTTTTAGCGGTCTAAAAAAAAAAAAAATCAATTTGATATTTATTTATAATAGAACGGATCTTGCAAACGCATTCGATGAAAGGTTTCAGTGTTTTATAATTAATAATAATACTAATAATTTTATTAACAATTTACGAAATGTACATAAAAATCTGTCATGTTTTGGTACAACATTTCACACTAAAGGTATCTTAAAATTATAAACTTTAGTAACATTCTTTGTTATTGAACAGTAGGAAAAAGTATAAAAACACCTACATAAAAAAAAAAATTAAATAAAGAAAATAATAATAATGTAAATAAAATTAGTATGTAAATAAAGTCAATAATAATAATAAAAGAAAACTATATTCATTAAAATAAAGAATATAGTTTATGTTACTTATGTTAAGTAATGTAATATTTTGTGCAATTTTATTTTAGTCAGTTTTTATTCAAGTAAAATATGTTGAAGAGAAGGATGGTTGGGATGATCAGTCAAAATTAAAATAGCAAAAATAAATAATATTATTTATTTTTACATTTGCCGACCTTTCGACCCGAAGTGTAATTTAATTTTATTTATTTTTACAATTTTTATTTTGACTCATCACCCCCAACCCTACTTCTCTTCAATTATTCTCTACACTTAACCATCAACCCACAATTAAAATATGTTTTGTACGTCTGTGCATGTATCTTCATAAGCTTTGCTTATTGTAATGGCCTATTGTCTTAAATGAAGGGTTTGTAGAAGTGTTTGTGGGGTTAAAACATTTTTTCGGTCTGGGAGTATATGAATTGTTTAACTGTCTGAAATTCCAAATCTTTTAACATGTTGGTTATTCTTGTGTATTTGGGATAATTCTTTATGATTCTCATATACAGATTTTTTATAGTTTGAGTTGCATGTGTAACCTCCTATTGGATAAGCATATGTTATTAAAGTGCGTATCCCGCGGTTTAAGGATTTCATAAATGGATGGAAGACTGCAGTGGGGCCCGCTCACTTCCATATTGGTGCCCGCAGAAGAAGAGGACAAGCGCCAGGAAGACCTCCAGATTCTGAAAGCTAGGCCGAAAGAAGAAGGAAGAAGATAAAACAGAAGAACTATATATGTGCATATCTAGTAGTAGTGTGTTATTAAGTATTATGCCTAAAACACACTATTGCAAACACCCGTATTGCCATTGTGGCATGAGAGGGTGGAAATCAATAAATAAAGTGCGTATAACCGATCTATATAAAATAATATTGTTTTTTATTGAAAAAGAAGATTTTTAAATGGCTTCGAAAGTGGGAGCCATTGCACTGATAAGTGTTTTTAGCTTTACTGCATTTTTGGTTGATATGTGATTTGAATGTTAATTTTTTATCTAATTGCAGTCCAAGGTAGGTAACGGATTGAGCCCAGGGGATTCTATTGTAGTTTTGTTGAGGGTAATTCGTTAAGGTAGGCTTTCGTTTGGTGAAAATAATTGCTGATGTTTGGGGTTCGTTTATTTTTATTTTCCGTTTGTTGTAGAAGTAAATAAAAAATATTTAAGCTGTTCTCTATTGTGTCTATTCTGAAGGAACTCGTGTAATTGGTCGTATCGTCTGCATACAAGGATCTTTCAACTGATGGGAGTGAAGGGAGGTCGGATATGTACAGGTTAAGGAGTACAGGAGAAATACAAGATCCTTGGAGAAGACCAGCTGATGGAATATATTTAAGTGATTTACAGTTCTTTATTATGGTCTGAAAGGAACTGTTGGAAAGATATGATTGGATAGTATGTATGATGTACGGTGGGAATTGATAGCTTATATGTTCATATAATAATTCATTGTGCCATATTGTTTCGAATGCGTTTTCTATATCCGGTAAGATCATATCGGTATGCATTTTTTCATTAAATCCTACCGTGATGTAATCAGTTAATCTGGCTAAGCTACAGTGGAATGATGACTTCTGAATCCGAACTGTTCGTTTATCTCGAGGTTGTTTAGGGATATGAATTTATTTATTCTTTTTAAAAACATTCTTTCAAATATTTTTGATAAGGTATTAAGACAGCTAATTGGACTATGATTTCCAACTTCTGTCAAATCTTTATTCGGTTTGGGAATCGGGATGTCTTTTGCTGTTTTTCAGGCAGTAGGGAAGTGTCGAAAGCGGAATATGGTATTGAAAATTTTCGTAAGGGTGGAATATTTTTTTTTTTTTGCTACTGAGATTTTTAATGACTACTGGAGGTATGTTGTCATTAGTGTTGCTCAAACGCAAGACCAAGACCAAGACCGCCTCGGTCTCGTCTTGGTCTTGCGTCAACAAATCTTGGTCTTGCGGAAGAGTCTTGCAGTTAACTATCACCTTATTGCTATTTATTAAGTGTGATACTTTAAATCATAGAAAAACGTCCAAAATAAGTTGATTTTGATGTTTTATTGACATAAACATTGCAAAGTACAACTAAATCAATGAAATTAAGAATAAAGAAAGATAATGATAACCCTCCTCTATCCCTCCGATTATATGGAATGAAAGAGTTTTATAGTAATGACAATTTATATATTGTTCCCAATGATTTTAATTAAAAATCTATTGTGTCCACTTACAAGAGTCTCCAATATATATTTTTCAAAAAAATACAACTTTAAATTTGTCTATTAGAAAAAAAAAAACAATTGAAATAAATTCATTTTCCTATAACCGATCAGTGAAATCATTAGGGTACAATTCCTTGGATGAAACAAACAATGTAAACGGGCAAGTGAACCACCATTAAAATCAACGTATAAAAAACGATATATACTATAACAGCTAAAACTGGTCCGATTTGGATGATTTTGTCAAAAAAAAATTTCAGAAGTTTAATGACCTTTTAAAAAATTGGCTTCGGAACAGGCTCAGAAACGTTTAGATCCGTTGAAAACCAATATTTGTATACTTGGTGTTAGCTCTCAAAAACAATTTTCTATTCTTTATAACTTTTTTTCTTGAATTGTCTCGAGAATTCACTAAAAATACGAACATTTAAAAGACTTTAAGTAGAAAATTAGAAGAAAGTTTCATTAAAATTATTAGAACCGTATAATGTTAATTTGAAACTTCATAAAGCATAAATACATATGTTTATACAATTAATGGATTAATGTTTTTAGTACATATGTTAGATTCGCACATATAATTCATAAAAGCGTTTATTTGTAGTTTAGGTACCTAGGGGTTAATATTTTGGACACTTATTGATTATGAACAAGTGCCGCGAATCCTTCACGTTCTTTAGTTTTCTATTTACATTTTGATTAAAAAATTTCTCCATAACGGACTGCACACAGTGGTATGAAATGGATATAACACTTTTTATCTAAAAAAAAAAAAAATATGTCAATACTTTAGAAAGGGCTCGTTCGATTTGCCTCAAAGTTGGATAAAAGGTAGGTAATGGTGAAAAAATAACGTGATGTCAATTTTATTGAATTCTGTGCAATAACTTCTGTTATACATGTTATATATGTTTGGGCGTGCGTAAGCGGGAGTGCAGGATGGAATTTGAAAAAATTGATATGGGACCATCTAGACAGCAATTCGTACAATCCCTGAAAATTTCATGAAAATCGGATGAAAGGTAGTGGGTGATAAGCCCGTCTACTACAGACAGACACCTAACCAAATTTGATCCTTGGTGTCTGAAACGTAAAACGCGAGTGGAAACTTTCGATTATGAGTACACATTTTTTTTTAACCTCTCGCATGAACACAACCCTTCCCTAACTTCGGTAGTGAGGAAGAAAAAAAAAAAAAAAGATATCTCACATTATCTACCACACTGCCATTTATTTTTGTATTTTCATTTATTATTTCTGATAATATATTCATTGCTGATATAATAGTTTTGCTATAAAACGAAGAAACAAGGAAATCTGATTAAAAATAACGAATTTACAAAATTATAGCCAAAAACATCCAGTTAGGGATCACTAAACGAAAATTATGAAGCTCATATTCTGAGAACATTAATCCCTTTTACTGTAGCTTATTTTTGATTCCCCGTGGAAGTCCGCTTCTTTTGACGAGAAGTTTCATTATAATAACTAAAATGGGCTAATATTAGTAACCATTTAGTCTTAATTTTTATTAATGAAAACGCGTTTTTTTGTTGTTCTTTTCTTAATGCTTCGGTCTTGGAAAATGATTAATTTTTAGGGGCAAGGTGGCCGAGCGGACTGACGAGTGTGCACAGCACTGTGCGTTGCCCGGCAACCTGTTAACGGAAATTGGAGACAATAAAATAATTATGAGTTCGCGTCCCACTGTCCAGGGAGGATCTTTTAACTCTGGCATTAATCCTCCTCCCACCCAACTTGGTCCGCGAAAACCCCCGTATAACCTAAAAGGCGAGGTAGGGGGAGAACAAAAAAAAGATTAATTTTTTATTATTATTTGGACAGCTATACTCAAATATAATAAAGCTAAAAATCAAACAAAGTTATGCAATTCCACAAGATAAAACAGCGCTTTTTAGATTAGATGATTAAAATGTTTAAGCACAGTACTATATCTGGAAATAATCTCAGTCTTACTTAACTGCAAGACTTGAAGGGTCTGGTCTTGGTCTTGCAACAATTTTTGTGGTCTTGGTCTTGCAAAAGTGAAAGACCAAGACCAAGACTGCAAGATCAAGACCAATTTTGGAAAACAGTAGTTATCATCACTATAGAAACGTAAGCTTCCATGGAAAGACTGTTGGTCATCCTGGTAGTGTTAGGTGTGTTTCAAAAGACGAGTTTTGCAAATCAATCTTAATCAGACGGATTTTCAGCTTATGAAAGCTTTAAAAAAACTTGTCTTATCTTCAAAATAATATACTATCTGATCAATAAAATAGGGACAACCAACACAGTTCTAACAGGACAATAATGATGAAAGTGGGTTGCATTCCGTCGTGTATAGCAGCTCTTATTATTGGAGCTACCTTATGTGCTTGCTCTTCGGTCGAAAGAGGTAAGTCTTGACAATACATTTGAGAAAGCAGCCCAACAAAAGAGTGCTCATCATGCAACTAATGCTTTTAGAGGTATCTTAAGGGTCTGAAATTGACATTGTCTTATTTCCCGTGCAATAATACATTATTGCTAATATAATATTCAATCCAGAAGTTGTCAATTTTGTTTGTTTTACCGAAGGAAAGGCGTAATCGAAGGAAATTTAAATTTTGGAGTATGTTGATGGATGGGTAGATATATTTATTTTGGGTGAGATTTTACAATTAATAAAATATATTTAATACTTTAAAAACATAAATTTTTTTTGTAAATTTTCAGTTCCTCGCGGTTAAATGTCTTTCACACCACGCTTATATTGCTCCACAGCATACAGGAGAGCTTTCAGCAACGACTGCCACTAGATGCCTGGTTTTTGGTTTGTTATTCTTATTTTTATTTTCCTGAAAAGACGCTTGACATATTTCAGTCATGGCCTTCTATTACCAGTGACCATGTCCAAGTCTTCAATTCTGTTTGAATGGCTACACTGTTTTATTTAGCGTTTTTGTTCACATTTTCACAGATAAGAATTTAGTGGGACCACTATGTCACATGCCTTTATCACTGAAGCAATTCTAGTTAGCATCGATCCAATAAAATGTTTTATGATTTCATTACTTATATCCTGATTGCATACTTTTTTTATTGTTTCCTTTAATCTTTATTTTTAGGTTTAACTGCTTGAATTTTTTTATGATCTTCCATAAGTTCTAAATAAGTTTAAACCTCGTGGGGTTTAAATCAGGACTGTCTTCTGGCCGTGGCAACATTGAGATCCCGTTAGTTACTAAAAACTAAAAATTATGAAAATTAAAAATTATGTAAGAATTTTTGTAATGTTGTAGAGATGGTTGACCGTGATATAATATGAGGAGTTGGTCGGAGGTCAATTAAATACCAAATTTTTAAAATAGTATTTTATTCGTTATACCGACGTTTCCACCCATTTTGTAGGTCTTCTTCATCAGGGCTACAAAATATTTTTTAATTACATGGTGATAATGAAATGAATTATTAGTAGATATGAAATAAGAAACAGTTGTCCGATAAAGAAATGATAAGATGACAACAGATATATAGTGGATGACAGTGTAGTTAAAATATCAAGTATTAAATATATAGAAGATAAAAACAAAAATAGAAAATGAGTGTGGATATTCTCATTTTTTTTATTCTCACTTATTTTCTGTTTTTGTTTGTATCTTCTATATATTTAATACTTGATATTTTAACTACACTGTCACTCACTATATCTCTGATGCCATCTTATCATTTCTCTATGAGACAACTGTTTCTTATTTAATATCTACTAATAATTCATTTATTTCATTTTCACCATTTACCTTTTATATTTTGTATCTCTTGTAGCCCCGATGAAGACCTACGAAGTGGGTCGGAACGTCGGCATAACGAATAAAATACTATTGAATTAATGAATTAATGAATTTTTATTGAGTATTTATACAATACCATACGACAAAAGTATCCAAGCTCAATAAAAATATATACGGCTTGGTTCTTAAAAGCGTCGGCCGGAGGCTGGCCTTGGCAAAATGAGTATTATTGATACAATAATATAAACTAAAACATAATATGTTAATGTTGATTAATACAGTGTTAATGCTAACAAATACAGAAATACAATGTATCAGCTCTTAATATCACAAATTTAATTACACATATATAAATACATAAATATATAAATACATACACATTTTTAATATAGATATTTTAATATAATTACATAAATAATTTTTCCGGCTTAAACATTATTCATTTAATAATTAAATTTTTGGCATAAGGCATATCTGTATTGCCAGGCTACTTTACAATAATTGGATAGACTTTAGTATTAAAATATAATATTATTTTAATAATTTGGTATTTATTTGACGGCACACTCCGACCAACTTCTCGTAAGTATTTTTAGTAATAAGATAGTTTTAATCATTTAAGCATTGACGGCCTTAGACGTTCGTTCGGCGCCCCCGGGCAATGTCATCTCTAGTCTTGTTCAAAATCGGTCTTGGTCTTGCACTTTGCAAGACCAAGACCAGCGACGCCTACGTGTTGCAAGACCAAGACCAAGACTAGTAAAAAAAATCAATTTTTTAAATAGAAATTGAGACAAAATAGTTACTAATACTTGACAATTTTAGTTAATATATGTAAAGAATTGTCTATAACCGATATAATTTTGCATTTAACTCTTCTAATTTTTCATTCAGACTTAAGACTAAAAAAGTACAGTACGCAAGACTTTTGCGAGACTCTTGCGCAAGACCAAGACCTTACTCCAAGACTGAGTTTGCAAGACCAAGACTCATCTCAGTCTCGCATTTGGGCAACACTAGTCATCTCTCAAGATGATAAAGAAGTTGTTCCAACTATACTGAGCTAGCGCTTTTTATTTTTAGAATCCATTTTTTAATAACTCTTGTACTACTTTTTTGTTGTACCAAATATTAAACATATAAAACTGAGCAATATTATGATGATTCTATCACGTCGGTATTTAATAAGGAATGTCGGTATTTAATTGTTTAATATACGACTCAAGTTCAATTCAAAATGTATTTGCCATCTTCTTTTATAACAGTAAGACATCTAGAAACCAAATTTTGTATACCTAAGCTGAAACAATGTTATGTTTTTTTAATTAAAGAAAGCCAACACCTCGTTTTTCACTTTCATTTGATACCGATTAATGAGTTTTGGAGAATGCTAAAAAAGTGATAATCCGAAGGCGCTAAGTATCCAGCTGATTAAAGATCTCCAGTGATAGTTTGCTTAAGATCAATGAATTCATGCTGAAGGATATTTTCCTTATCCCACCAAACATACATCATTACTTTTTCTGAATGAAGTACTTATGGGATGACCTGATATTCAATAAAATTGCCTAAAAGATTTCGTAAAGAAAGAGCTTCATTCAGGCCTGCACCAGAGGGAAGGGAAGGGCTAAAATTCAGGGGCGACAAATTTCAAGCAAGATCGTATTTTAAGGTTAAATACAATTTTTTTTTTAAATATTTAAATTTTTTGAGTTTAGTTCAATCAATAAAATGAGCTCATATTACGGTGTGTTGATATTTATATGAAAAACTATTATCTATAATTCAGTTATAAAACTGTTCGCTTTTTTAAGGAGAGGAAAGGGTTAAAAAAAGCGGTGGATAAATTAATCTCGCTCTTCTCAGAAAAAAATACTAGTTTTTGGCTCACGCTCTTACTTCTAATAATTCACTTATAACTGTTGATGAAAACTGTTGATTTACCGTATACCAAGTTCTTTAATATTATTTGAGATGGTTTGGGGGTACGAATTCGAAATTTTGAAGTACAGTCATTTGCTCTTTCTGTAATGTTTATTTCAATGGAATGAGGCATTTTCTTCATGAATCTATTCAAACTGTTTACTTTTCTCTGTGCAGGCACGAATTCTACTGAAGAAGTCGGCATAAGGTTTGGACTGGTTCGGTGCACTGTTACTACTTGCTGTGATCAAACCTTATTCTGCTGCATGCACAACTATGAATACCAATGCTGTAGGTACACACTCATGGAGAGACAGGTGTAAGTAAATATTATGTATAAGGTGTTATTCATGCATACAACAACGTGGTGTCATTCATATGTGTGTTAAATATCTGGTGCGGCACCACCCTTACTCTTCATTGCAAAAATAAATATTTTCAGACAAAGGGGAAGTGAAAGTAAAAATTATAAACGCTATATTGAATTATATTTCATTGTAGGTATTTTTATTTGTATAAGTATCTGTTTAGGCAATTTTACAAATTTAATTAAAGTAAAGGCAAAAAACTCTAATAAGTTCATCATAGGCGACATTCGACTTATTTTGGCAGTGGACTGTATTTTGATTAAAGTGGTAGGTCATATGAATTGTGTAAAATAAAATTCACTCTTTTATGCTGGCATAGACATCTTACTTAACCTCCAGTCTGCTGTAGTTGCTGTCTCCGGCAATATCTGCCGTGGAATGGGTGAGAGCGTCTCGTAGCTGGAGCGGATTAAATTTTATCTTTTAGATCTTATCTGATCTGTTTTCACTACTCGCCGCAACGCAACACTCAGTTGTAATAGCATACACACAAAACATATCCCCCAACGTGAAATGACTCATTTCACGAACAAAAAAAGAAAAAAACAAACTCTTAGATTGGTAATTACCAGACAGAAACGAGAGGAAAATTGCTTTGTAATTTAGTAGCCTGATGGACATGGAGATGGATTGATAAATTACTATTCATTTGAAATAAAATGGCTCCCTATTAAATTTAAGAAAAGAAAAGATATAAATATTAATAAAAGGTTTCTGCTGAAGGGAGATGTACTAATTTGTGCACAGGTCACACCTAAGTGGCTGCGGCAGTCCTCAATTTTACCACCCTAACTGCACGTCAGGTCCTGGAAGTGTCTCTATTATCCTGGTAAGCCGCCACTCCTGCAGTGGAACATCTTTTTCTTTTAGAATAACAAGGGTTCCTTCCCTCTTTTAAATTTTTTCTGTCAGTACACCACTTGTTGCGAGGCACCAGATTATGGAGGTACTCATTATACCATCTCTTCCAAAAATTACGAAGAGTCTTGGAAATCATCTCCCGACGGCTTGTCAAAGGAAACGCAAGTGCGTCTTCTTGTTACGTTCTGGCTAGAAGGGGTCGACCTATAAGAAAGTGCCCTGGATGAGGTAATCAAGGTTATCCGAATCCTGACTGCTAATATTACAGATAGGATGGGAATCGAGAACGGCTTTAACTCGTACCAGTAGTGTATAAAATTCCTCATATGCTAGAACAGATCATTTACATCTCCAAAAAAAAAAAACCTAATAAGTTTTGAATAGTTTCGGCAATGTGGATACACTTACTTTCTCTTAATACCTTTATATATTTCGTGAATAAGTAAGTGAAAGATAGTTACAAGATAGTTTATTTTATTTGTCTTAGGAAATTCCTGTACAAATAAATATAATGGTATAATTAACAATGTTAGATCTTGAGTCTAGTACTGCATTCAAACATAACATTAACAATGTCCACAGCATTAAGTATGACTAATATAATAACAGATTAGTAAACGATATATATATATATATACATAACAATTAGTAAAACATTTTTTTTTTTTAAATATTCGAGAGGTATAAGACAAATGACAATATAAATAAGCATTAATATATGTTATATGATTAACTATACCACTTAACAGTTCAATGAACAGCCCTGTATGAAATAATACAGTTGGTTTATTTTTTTCGTAGTGTCTATTTTCAGTATCTCCTCCACACTAGCATCTTCTCTGGATTCAGTGATAAATGCCTTCAAGTACTTATTTCTTGGCTCGTTGAACTTGATACATTGAATCAGAAAATGAGTTACCGGGTCAGTTACATGGCAGTTGCATGCACCACATACCTCACTGGATTTAATAGTCAAAGTAGCATATTTTAAGTATATTTTCATAAAATCTTTACTTGCTACTCTGAGACGACTAACGGCTCTTAATTTGTTTAAAAGTAAGTGAAAGTAAAACAAATAAAAATGGTATATCGTACAGGATTCTGACATAATATTGCAGCTCATGCTCCGTGGAGCAGTATCTCCTTTAAGTTGTTACCATATGCACGTAAACAGAAATCTATCAAGTGGCGCGAAGTGTACCATTCATATAGCCGTCGTAATCAAAATGTCTTATTTTCTTTTAGGTATATAAAACGGATTACAAATGGCATATTTAAATAAACTTGTTTGGAAATCCGTAATTCGTCACTATAATCAAAATCCTACTTCCTACTAGTAGGGCGCAGCTACTATTCAATAATAATACTTGTTATATTAAGTTTTCAAATAGTCATTGCTTCAAATAAAAAGTGTTTTGAGTTATTCAGTACTGTTTGAATTTCTTTCGTACATCAAAAAATGGTAGACTTTATATTTTTTTTTTATAAACTACATTTAGCCCAGTAACCTTGTCATGAAAAGTTGCATCGAATTGGGATAGAAGGTTTATTTATTTTTTTCTTATATGGGATGTGATAGAGATGCATAATCCAAGTTTTCGAACTCGGGCACCTCCCCCCTCTTCCGTCCGGGTCACTTTTGAAAACCCCAAGAATTGCTATATTTTCGCTCTTTTTCCCTATTTTGATTATGAAAGAGCATGTTTTCGACAAAAACACCCTATACAGTTTTAAACTAGATTGAATAGGCTACAATCTAAAACCAAAGCAGGATCGGTAAGTTTAATAATTCTTGAGATACAGGTTTTTAAATTTTTGGAAATTTTTCGAACATGAAAATTTTAAGCTGTTTTTCCTGTTTGATCATATGCACTATATTGTCTTTATATATTCAATAACCTGTCTTATATTATTCAGTGAAATAAATTATTATTCATTTTAACATGTTGAAGGAGGGGTGAGGGAGGAGAGGAGATTTGGTGAAAACAAAATTGAAATAAAAAATTTAGTTAACCAACAATTACATCAAGAGCTTACAAAAACTGTAAATGAAGTGAATGAAATTTTTGAAACTGGAAAATGCTTAACTAATTTCATGCTATGTCTTCAATAACCTGCCTTATAAGAGTTAGTGAATTAAACATTTATTTAAGTTATTATTTTAAACGAGTAGGATACATGGATATAGGAATGACTATAAATAATTGATAAAATAAGTGAACTATAAAGACCTGAGTCATTTACTGCGTACGATCTTTTTCGTGTGCTCCTACGCCATTGCCGCTTTTCCGCCAATTAAGTGCATTTTCTAAACAAATGTTTCAAATATGTTAAAAATTAATCAGTGATTTAGAAAGATAAATATATTATGTAGATGTTTTATGTCAAGGCTTTTCTTGTTATTGTTGACCGTTTAATTTCAAAACAATAATGTATGTATTATATTATAGATGTATAATTACAGCGATATAAATATTAAAATTTGTATATATAAGCGTACTTATACAAATTAAAATACCCGCAATGAAATATAAATCAGTATTTTTAATATTTATTATTATTATTATTATTATTTTATTTATTTGTTTTCGGGGAATGCCCGAATTAATTCATAAATTCATTAGAACTCAGTGACAACATCCTCTCCTGATAACAATCAATCATCTGACTGTATGCCTAAATATAGACAATAAAATATAATATAATACCCCACATAATACAATAATTCAAAATAATAAATCTGAATACAGCGAGCAATAAAATGACAAATAGTAATAAATAGCACTAGTAATAAAGATAAATACCGGCATGGTATACAATATTTAACATATAAACATGTCAATAGTAAATAGAAAATGATACAATAAAACACAATATGCATATAAATATGTTTCATGCCTGAATAATAAACACCACAAGCAGAACAAAGTAAATAAACTTCAAAGTTTTGGAAAAAACATATGTAATGTTACTATTCATTGAAAATAAAGGATCTCAATCTGCAACATTGCCTCGTGTAATAAAACAGGTTCTTGAGGAAGACTTCATTGTTAATTTTGAATAATTCCAAATAATTTGACCTGATCATTATTTCGCCTGGTCATGTGGAATGAGGAATGGAATGAGGTCGGAAGTGTTGGCGGAAGTAAACATAAATCGGGCACCGGGCCAAAATATGAAAAATGTCCTCCAATTCATTTAGGTTACAAAGCGTGCAAATTTCTTTTGGCTCGAAATAGTAATAACTATTATTAAACGTTAATTTAATATTATAATTTCCAGATAACCTAATCTGTGTTAGTGCTTTCGTCATATGAAATGGGGCATTTAATACGAGATAAGGCTATGCTTATCACTCATTGTATACATATTGACATACATTGTAGCCGATTGAACCAATTCAATTTATGACTCCCTTTGCCAATAATATGTATTTCTTTTAATTCATTAAAACAAATTTTAGGCAACCTATCATTTTCAATTTTTAAAATTTATAAGACCCATGACAGTGCCAATTTCAGTATCGCAACTGAGCAATGAAGGATTTAAAATTGCAATCTCATTAACCAGAAGGGACAATTTTTATTTTGAGAGAGTAGACTTTTATAAAAGTTTAAGCTTACGCTTTCTAGGTTCTCAATATACCTGAGACCAGATAGTTGAACAGTATAGTGAAGGATACTAATTGAAATTGAATCATTTACTTTTATTCTGCTATCCCACGTTCTCAGCTTTGCTTTAGCACAAATTGAAATAACAGATCCTATTGCTGCCCTACTCTTCGATTGAAAATATTTAGTAGTTCTATAAAATAAGCCAGTATCAGAGAATGGCACTCCTAAATAAATGTACTCGGAATACCTTTCAATTTCAGTATTCTCATAAAATAACCTTCCCACCCTCTTGCATCTTCCCTTGTGGAAATATAATAATTTAGTCTTTTTTGTGTTCACCTCTAACTTTTTTACCGAGCAATATTCGTTCAGAATTTTTAATTTATTTTTAACATTTGTATAGCTGTCGGCCACAATTATTAAATCATCCGCGTAAAGAAGTAAGAATACGTCACATAAACTATTGATCTTTATACCACCGATATTCCGACTCCGAAAAAATAACTCAATATCTTTCAAAAAAAGACTAAAAAGATAAGACGATAGTACTTCTCCCTGTAAGAGACCCAAGGTGACATCCATTTCATACTCCTAATTCTAGCTGAAGCGTTCTGATAAATATTTTTTAAGATTCTTTTAATTTTCCTGCTAATAACCAGACCATGAAGACACTGCCAAAGCAAATTGTGATTCAGCGAGTCAAAAGCTCGCTGGAAATCTACAAACAAAACAAAGAAATTCTTTCCATACAATACCAGCTGTGTCTGAATCGAGGTGTTCAAGACAAACAACTCATCCAGACAGCTTCTGCCTTTTCGAAAACCTGATTGTGCTTCAGGGACAGCTTTTGTCTCGCCACACCAGATAATCAACCTATCCAGAATTATTTGGGCAAATATTTTCATTATGCAATTGATCAAAGCGATCGCACGATAATTTTCGGGTAGATTGCGGTCACCTTTTTTAAAGAGCATGGCGTATTCTATTTTTACCCAGGAGTTCGGTATATTCTTAGTCGGTTATAGCGTTTATATAATGTTTACTTAATCTATTCCCTTTACCTCAAAATATTTATTTCTGCTAATAAGTGGGTGGTAAGTGAAAGTTGTGTGATGTGCGCACCACACCAGGATTTTTTTATTTTTATTTCTTTTATATTAATTCAATCGTGTGTACTACTTTGTAAGTTGATTGTAATTTTAATAACAATGAGATTGCATGGGCATTAAAAAAAGGGCTTGCTTATCTTATTTATCTGTATATACATGCATGTCTGTATTTAAAGAAATTTAATGATGTATTAATGTTTACAGGGTATCAAGAGCTGTCCATTGCTGAAAATATGACCATAACCAAGAAAAATATTTAAAATTTCAATTCATGCAAATATAGAATTATAACTTATATATATATATACCAAATATAGAATCTTACTTGAAAATCTTTTTTACTCGAATATGGCGAAGCATTGGTGCGTGCATGCTTTTCATGCCGGTTGGAGGAAGGAGGGTGATGCACTCTCCCGCCCCCCCCCCTAAAAAAACAAAGTCTCAGGAGTTTATATTAAGTATAAAAAATTATAAATGATAATTAAGATAATCAACATAATTATTGTAAAACGAACAAAATAATACTGTCTATAAAAATAAAATTCATATATATATATATATATGAATCATAAAATACTAGGATATGTTGCTGCATATCCTTTTGAATACAAACTAAATTTTTAAATACAAACTAAACTTTCAGTATTAAGAACATAGGGCATGGTAAAATACTTGCTTACCTATTTCTAGGCCTTAGCTTAGCCATCTAGTCGACTTCTCCTATTTTATTAATTTAGTTTACATAACTTATTCATTCGTATAGATTAATTGTTATTATTTTTTGTACTTTACTGTAATAGATTATATTTTTGAACTTCGAAATATTGGGGAGGAGGGCAAACAATATTCTTCCCCACTCAGTATTTTTATTGGGGAGAGGGGAAGAGAGATAGCAGGCATACGCCTATATCACTGTAGCTTTCATTTACAATAATATAAATATCTATATTTCAAGGTTTAATTCTTTGCGATTTGGGAATACAATCTGCAGAAAAAGCACTTTTTGAAGTATAGTCTTGTCAAAATTAAAACGACAAATTTATAAGTGAAGTTACGACTTTTAAAAATAAAAAAATCGTTCAATAATTAAAAAGAGAGCTAGAAGAAACAATAATCTTATGTATGTGAGTTAAGTAAAACCTCATCAATGGAGTGTTCGATGAAATTGTACTTAATTCTTAAATTTGTCTCAGAAATATCCAAAACACTTATAGTTAGGTAATTTTACATTAAAGCGTTTTACAAATTACAGTACTTGTGAACGACGCGGGCTCTATGGACTGCTACCTGCCAATGTTTATAACCTGAACATTGATAATTGTTATAAGGCACTGATAATCCCTATGTTCATATGAAATTAGACTCTCGTATAATAAGAAATATAAATATATTTGGTGTTGCCTCTTTTTTGCCTGTTTCTTATTAATATATATATATATATATATTAATAAGAAATATAAATATAATAATAATATAGTAATTTAATAAGAAGAAATATAAATAACAACACTTTTATTTTACAACATACATAATTCATTTCATTTATTTATTTTGGAAGACAAAATAGCTTAATGCTATTTAAAATAGCGAGTAAATGGATTCGAATAAATGTTGCTTTCCTCTTCTATATTATTTGTAATACATTCAAATAAAGTTCTTGCCTTTCTGTCCTTTATTTTTACCTATGAAACACTCGTCTGTTTCTCGACAAACTCCGCCAAACATTCATTGTTCAGGGATAACTCTCCCTGCATGATGATTTCGTTTATAAAAAGTCTGTCATCTGTCATCTACTTCAACCACTTTCCCATGCCCTCCATTATAAAATGGATTTTTGTCATGTTGATAAGCAAGAAATAAAATTGTTTGATAATATAAAGAATATATAGAAATATTTATTTGGATTAGACAAAAATAAATCCCGAAAAATTAAATACTCACCTGATAAATTCCCTTTTACTATGTAGGTAATTGAGGTGATATTTAAAGAGCTATAAAAAAAAAAAAAGAAGAAAAAAAAGGAGCTATATATTATTTATAAAAGTAATTTTTTTGTCGGCACGCCATAAATTCATCAAATCCAATGATTGACCACTCATTTATATATTCTTCTCCTTCACATACGAATAATAGTCACATACCGCCGAAATTTCTGTAAAAAACTTTATGAAAGAAAAGAAACTTTATTTGTGAATAACTCAAAAAGTACGCATGTTTTTTTCCTGATTTTACCCATGATAAGCAGAAAGATTAATAAATTACCTACAAAACAAATATTGGACAATTATTAACAAAGATCCGGTCTATTAGTTTTGGTATACTTAATAATTTCTACCTCTTTAAAGATACTGCATATAGTATTCTACTACCCTTTTTTCTGGCTGGTATATACTTTATTATTTCTTGAAAGCATTTCTTTGTTCGTTCATTTAACATTTGTCAATCATTTAGAAAATACCATGATCGAGGCTTTATTTTGAATATTACAGTCAGTGTTTAAACATAGGCCCTATCAAAGCCATTTGTACAAATATTTGGCTCTATTATGTTAAATGGAATATTGTAATCGACCAAAGAAAACCAATTAATTTCTCTCTTACATAATACATAGCATCTGCTTATTTCCGTATTGTTTTGCTATTCCTTCACTAAACAAAGTTGTCTGCGATTTATTCGTTAGGGCCAACTTGTAATTAGTATAACTACATATATACACATACTTAAAGTATATTATTATATATAATTGGTTCTATATCCAAATAAACTATTTGAGCGGATTCCCCATAACGCTATATAAGCAATTTCATGTATGACCGCGCCTTCTACAGGCCACATAACCCATTGAAAAAAAATAATAAGTAAGTAGTTTTCATTTTTTTTTTTTTTATAGTTTTAGTTGATTTTTAAAGGACAAACAATTTCACCTAATAAGTTTTGAGGGAAATACTAATTTTTTTTATCAAATGAAACAATTACTGCTCCCTCGGTATTAATCGGCGTTGTTTCAATATAATTAAAGAACAAATTAACTTTTAAAAATTTAAAGTTCAGTTTACTTTTAGAAATTCAAAGGAAAATTTAAACTTTATTTTCTCAAAATTAAGGATTCGAAAATTAGTGATTTTTCCTAAGGAATGCTGATTCAATGAAATTAATCTATTATTTTTCGATTGGTAAGGAGAATAATTAAAATAAAATTTTGCAAATATTAGCACATTGTGCATAACATAATAATATCCATGTAAACCAACTACATAAGGCACGGGCGGATCTACGGGGGGGGGGGGGGGCTTTCGGGCTGAAGCTCCCCCAAAATGATAAAATATAACCATGTTTTTTCGAAAAAAATATTTAAAAAGTATCTCTTAAAGTATTATTGTTCGTGTAATTACATTTAAAAGGGCTTTAGGAATCACTTAAACACCATTTCATATAGGTAGTTAGCTTCTCTCTTTTTTTGCAAAGTAATTATCGTTATTTTTATGAAAAAAAAACTTTCGGGCTGAAGCCCCCCCAAAATTAAATCCTGGATCCGCTAGTGACATAAGGCAAAACAAGCAAAAATTATTTCAATAAGATTAACGCATAAAGTTAATGAATGAATTTACGTACACATTTCTTATAAATTATTTAATATTGCATGTATTTATAATAATTAGTTTATTGTTATGTACTTAGTATGTCTTAGTTTCCTTTTAATATTTATATTTAGAAATATCACAAAGAAACATATATTAATATTTATACATATATTCAATAGTGTAAGTTTACACGTAGTCCTGACTTAAATCCAATATATATCTCTAAGGTGAATTTGGGATACGAGCTAGAAGAATTAACTGTTCTGGTAACAAACAACTTCAGTGTAGAAATGGGAGTAAATCACTCCAGACGTAGAAAGTCTTATAATTGTAAGCCTTTAAGTATTTATCCTGTCAATGAAGAGAGAGGAGGTAATATCTACCAATTAATGTTAATTTTATTTTCAAAAATATATTTTTTATTTTTAGTTTAGTAATTATTGTTACTTTTTTTTCGATCCATCTAAATCGTTGTCCAAAACAATTTTATTTATAAATTCTCATATCTCGATTTTACTTTCAATTAACAAAGAAAAACATCAACTGGTTAGTAAGAATGCAGATAAAACTAAAAAAAAAAAATATAAGTAAACAGAAACAAAAAATATGAATGAGCCAAGTGCACCACGTTTTCATGAAGTTATGGAGGTGTTAAGTTGATTTTATTTACTTATTAATTGTTCAATATATACCAATTAATTAAAATGGTAGTAATAATAAATAACAAATCATCTTTTTCAATTCATCGTTTATGTTTTACATTTTTCTGTTGACTATGGCTGAGTTTGAGGTGCAGTACACGATTGCGTTGGAGCTGAAAGCATGTTCCATTTCGGCCCCGATTTGAGTGATGGTCATCTCTTATTTCCCGAGAATCCACAGAATAAATCTCGGCTTTACCTTTTGGTTGATATTCATTCTTATGAATATTGGATGAATGTCGGTTGGTAACCTGTGGTTAAAGTGCGTTTTCCGACTTGTGTTGAAAAACTTGAACTTAACCGACAACCTTGGAATAACGCTGAAGTTGAGGATCGTAAAATATCCCCTCCCCAACTTGCAAAGAACAGTGATCGGCGCTAAGATGTTCAGTTGTTTTCAGTAAAGGTTCCTGTTGACATTGACCTTGTGTAGGAATGTCCCCCACTTGTGGTGAGTTGAGTTAAGGAAAGAACATTAGTTAGGAAAGTATATTAGTAAATAAAAATAAACGGATTACAAATTTTCATAATTAAATATTTAATTGGTTGTCGATTATTTTGATTTTAGAGGTTATATTATTAGTATTGATCATTAATTTTAATATCTATTATATTGTTTAAATTAATATATGGATCTATTTTAATTTTATAGTTTTATGCACTTATATTTCCTATTAACTTTTTAAAAAAAAATATTTTGTGTTTATTATTAGTAGGTATATTATAAAACATTATTATTATTCACAAAATATTTTGCATTTATAAAAATCTATTGTGAAAAAATTGACTATTTGATAGCAACTTAATGACACTTGCTAAATTCCTGTTAATTTATTAAACAATATAGGTTTCACTTATTCAGGTTTGTTATATGATTAATTATACAACTTAAGAGTTTATGATAATTAATTATATTTCTGAATAAGATGTCTAACTTTTAATTAATCATAATAATATTTCTAATAGCAATTCAACTTTTGCATTTTTGACACACAAATTTATTAATATTTTTCTTGATAATATGAGATCATTTGTTTTTTTTTACCATATTTTAGTGATAAAACATATTTGTAGAATTATTCACTGATTGTAGAACGATAACAGCAATTTATATATATTTTTTCACGTTTAATAATTTCCTACTTTACCTATGCAATACTATTTTAATATTTCTTGATTAATATATTTTGTTGTGAGCATGGGTAGATTATACCATTATAATTGTCATCTTAGAGATTTGACTTGTTGACCT